TCTGGGGTGACAAATGTCATAACATTCCGACACCTGAAGAACATTGTTAAATGCCAACTAGTTGCTAGCATGGTTATAATAACTCACATGGGGGTGTTAACAACACATATGGTTTACAGGGTTAAAAAACACATAAAAGGGGTTTTATTTATATAAAACTACAGTATACTATTTTCAAGTACAATTTCACACATATCGGTCTTAGGGTAGCTAAGACTACATTTCATCTAGAATGGTTGGATTTCTTCTATAATTGTTTAGCGTATACGTTAGAGCTATATAAAATTAAGACGCTATCGGCTTAGAATTGGTGGGCCTGCCTTAGTTCTTGTTCCTTGTTTGGTTGTGGGCTTAGAGCAAACCCATTATATTTAACAATTTATTAAACCTTCATTTTATATAACTTGTATACACTAAGGGATTATAGAAGGAAGTTATGGGTTTTCTAGGAGTACACTATGTTACATTACAAAGAATACATTGTACTACTTACTAGTACGATAGAACTAGTAACTCATGAAAACATACATACAATGAGTTTTAATCAAATTAAAACTATAACATACCGCGTTCAAGTACAAGAGCATTCATACATTTTCCAGTATTAGGGTATTTAAGACTACAATACATTTTACAAGAAAATATTGGATTTTCTGGAAATCACACTCTATCGTTTTTACAAGGAAAAACGTCATTTTTCTCAAACAAAACTCTTATGAACTCTCCAACTTAATTGTTGACACTCTTTTCAAAACTACTTGTATTCTCAGGGAATCAATGAACAAGTAATAACCAACAGATTTTGAGGACGGGATGCTAAGGCATTAGTTCATAACTCATTTTGTCATCATATTGTAATTTATTGGGAAACATGTAACACTTTTAACAATGTAACCTTTTAATTTATATCTATGATGATTGTGTTTTCTTTCTTTACTATTACACATTTGTTATGATACTATACATGAAGTCGCCCCCGCACGTTTCCGCCGTTCTGGTTTGGGGGTTGACATCTCATCATGATTGTTTTCACATAACTGTTAGATATTGCTTTACTAACAAATGCAGTAAGTTGGATGTTTTTACCCCTCGATGGAAGTCATAGAAGCAACTGCTATTAGTCTACGATCTTGAATCCAATTAGTTCAGACAATTACACTTGGAATCTAGTCCTATATCATATGGTTAAAGATTGATATATCATAATTTGGGTGGGACATATATACTATTCACTGGTATTTGTTGATGTAAATATGTTATTATGGGGCTGCTAGTCTGTCCCATGCTTGGTACTCCTCATCCTAATTCGGTGTCCAACTGTATTTCCCTGCGCATCATTGGTGTCTGGACTAAAGCTCACAAAGCATTTACCCATGGCTGTCGGTTTTTTGCTGCATATTTACACATCCTATAGTCTAATAATCATCTTTTATTTTTGTTCTAGTTTGTTTATATCCTTTTACACTTGTTTTCTCTTTATGTTTGTTTTCTTTTGTATCTTGTACTCTTTGTGGTCCAGCCTCCCGCTGATCACCTTTTTAATAAATTTCACTGTTAAAAAAATGTACTATAATTAAGAAAACTCATGATTTGTAATAACTAATTATTGAAAGTTAATATGTAAATTAAAAACTTTTAGTGGTAATGATTAATTAGTTGAAAGTTTGAAAAGTTATTGGAATTTCAAAAAAATATAGCGTAAGTAAATTGGTTATCTTGAATCACATTGATTTGAAATGGTCTCATTTATAAGATATATAAGATATAACATACATGATTACAATTAATATTTTTGAGAATTACTTAATACATTATTACAATTAATGATGACTCGACAATTGGTGATAACATGTTGATCAAAATGATTCTTCTAGTGTCTTTCATATGTGATATCTTTATCAACCGGCTCAATTGCTTCTTAACTATAACAATATCTACAAAAAACATATAAATACAAGAAAAGGTCAACAAAAATGTTAAAAAGAATTATTTTACAAAATAATATATATAAACTGTAATATTCATTGATTTATTCGTATATTTATATGAATAAAGCATATTATAGAATACATTTATATCTTTATAATTTTACTCATAATTTTCTTCATATATGAATAAGTTATATTCATGAACGTAACTTATTTATCGTGACTATTATAAGCCTAACCATCATAAATAAAGTGACAACCAACAAACAAATGTATCAAGTGACAACCAACAAACATAATTATTTGCAATGTTCATATTTTTCAAATTTAAAACACAAATGATTATGAAATTCAATTTTCATACTAATTGTTTTCGGTAAATGACACAAAAGTCACTAATTTTTTATTTTTTTTTTCGATTTTGACACCGCATTTTTTTTGTTACAAATAAGTCGCTATGTTTTTAGTTTTGTTGCAATTTTGACTAGTTGATCGAGTGGCTTCAGTTCATTTGATTGCAATGCTGATATGATATGTTGACGTGTCATAAGCGAAGAAAGTGGTGCAAAAGATACTATGTTTTCATTTTTCATTATTTTTTTTGTGATTTTGAAACTAATATTTCAATCTTTTCTAATTTTGCCATTAAATTTTCAATCTTCTCAAATTTGCAAGATAAATGAAATAAACATATGTAAAGACATAAACAACAAGAAACGATGGTTCATAAAATATCATTCTTAATTCATTTTCAAACAATGACGTTGATATGTGTATTTTTATATATCTTTTTATGCACTTTATCTTAATATTTTAGCCTTATTTATTTTATTTTAGAACTAAAGAGTACTCATAATACTTTGAATTATGTTTTGCAGCTATTTGTTGTCGATAAAGCACAAAAGAAAAGACTGAAGCGGAAACTGTGCTTAGAAGCTAAAAGAAAGAAAAGAATGCTGAGGTAGCGAGTACGCCCCGCGTACCTTAAGGTTACGCCCCGCGTACACGCTTGCACCGGATAGACTTGATTGCATGATTATCTTGAGTACGCGCTGCGTAATCCTAAGTACGCCCAGCGTACTTAGGTCGGCCACAAAGATTATAAATGTCGATTTTTAGCTAACCAGGAGGGGGGATTCGACTTCTAACCTAATTTTAGTCGACAATTAACTTCTGTTAAGCCGTTTTGAGGGTCTAGAAGGCGGCCGGAAGGCCGTTAAGCTAACGGGAGCAGAGATCTGAAGGATTGGAGAACGGATACATGTCGGTAATCATATGGATTGCTAACGTGACCATTTTAGCACTTCATTATGGTACTTTTTGTATTTAGTTTCTGATTTGGGTGTAAAAACCTTTTATTTTGTGTTTACGATGGAATGAAGTTTTGATTCTTAGACCAATTGTTATATTAAATAATTTATTTGTGTTTAATTTATCTTGCCAAGCTTGTTCAAAGATCCTCATGTGTTAATGATGATTATTTGCTGTTAATTGTTAAGTGAATTAAGTTGTATGAACACCTGCTTGATTTTCTTGTCTCTTATGATTTTTGATGACCATTGAGATTATAAGACTATAAATAACGAATGTGAAACTAGGATTAACTTGGGAATAAGTAAGTTAATGTGTGAGCCTTGTTTGATGACCATCAACAAGAGGTTAATTAAATGTTTAAATTAACTATATTTACAAGTCTTGCTTGATACGAACTGAACACTAGGAAGCATGTTAGTTTAATCAATTGATCACTGTTTGAATTGACTTGTTTGCTAAAGGATTAGTTATAGTGAACACGAATCTAATCAATTTAGGAATCGGTGAACATGAATAAATGAATTTGTGTATGCAATTGTTTATGTTTTCAAGGTGGAATTTGTCTAAACCAAAGTACCTAAAGAGATTTGTTTTCCTGTTAGTTTATCGAGGAGGGTTAATTAATTATTAGTTTGAGATTTATTAAATTATGTCTTTTATTCTTTTCGTGTAACCTATAATCAGATATATTAAATTAATCCACCGTTCCCTGTGATCGACACCCGACTTACCTAAGCTATACTGTAATCTGACTAGGTACACTGCCTATAAGTGCATAGTTAGTCTAAGTTTGTTAGGTTATAAATATTAAAATTAATGAGTACTTCTGTGCACATCAAGTTTTTGGCGCCGTTGCCGGGGAACGGCTTGTCATTAATTTATTTTATTTGATTATTCGTTATTTGTTTTTTGTTAGTTTTTATTTTTAGTTTGATTTTCGATGATATCATTTCACTTGTCGGGAAGGTTCTTGTTTTTATTTTACAGGAATTTGGGATTGTACACGTTGCTTGACTTTACTTTTTGCATGGGTTTCGAGAATGAAAGCGATTAGGGAATTCTTGACCTGCTTAGCCTACTACTTTATCGATTTGTCCAACTCAATCCATGAGGCGTAGTATAGCAAGGCGTATTGTGGTGGCTAAGTGGAAGACCGAGCTCTTGCTGTTCTTGACTAGTTAGGTCACTTCTTGTTCCGCTTCTAGTTAAAGGTGCAAGGAAAACAAAGGAAATATTCTAACGGGTCCCGAAAGTGGGTGTTTTCACAAACCAATTCTTGCATGCAAAGGTTTTTGATCAACCATTGTTGTTTGATCTTGACAAAGATAAGTGATTATGACATCTCAATTTTTTTATCACTCATCGTGAAGTCATCATTAGCTAAGGAAATTAAAAAAAAAAAATAATAATAAATAAATAAATAATTATGTTTTAAGCCCTTAATTAAATATTTAGAAAGAAAAAGAAGTTAAATCAAAGGGTAGGAAAAAGTTGAAAAATACAAATTACGCCCCGCATAAGTTTAATTACGCCATGCGTAATGTGCCCCGGATCGCGAATGAACATTTCAGGGGGTTGAGGTACGCCCCGCATACCCTTGTGTTACGCCCCGCGTACATCGGCGACCAGGTATATCTCTTGACCCTTTGACTTCGTTGTTATTTTCAAACCCAATTCCTTTCTCGCATAAGCTGTGACGGCGACTCTCTCCAAAACTTTCGATTATGCTTCGTTCTTGTTGAATTCGACACTCAAATTATGGCTCGAAGGGCACAAAGAACCAACCCTCCCGAGGATGTGACCGATCATCGTTTTTTACAATTTCCGCAAACGCTGAACGATGCTACCCGGGCGCGTTATGTCACCAACTTGAGCTTGCTTCTCACAAAGGAGATTGATATTGCACCCTCATTTGATTGGGAATTGGCTACCAGGACTGGACTTGCTGCATTGATCCAGGAATTTTTGCAATACACACACTCGGACGCGAGTGGTGTGGAATTGTTTGTGTGTCAGGGATGGGCGCGTTTGTTCAGGATCCAAGAGCCTGTGTATCGGGAGTTTTTGCTGGAGTTCTACGCTACAGTTTCCTATGATCTTAGGAAGGCACTCGATGACAGGACAACCTTTGCTTTCAGACTGGGAGGAGTGAGCCGGGAATGCAGCGTGATAGAGCTTGCGACTCGGGTGGGTATTTACACAGCCGACGAGACGAGGAGTGTCCACTTCCCGACATTCCTTGCTGACTGTCTCACGGACCGGCCGGAGGACTATAATGAGAACACCTTTTGGGCCGAGATTACGGGAGGAGTTTATACACCATCTACCGCTCGAGGGGGGATGATTCGGTCCACTACATACCGAATGTTGCACCGGTTGATTTCTATGTCTCTCACGCATCACAAGAATAGTGAGAGAGTGCCTTCGACGGACCTGTATTTCCTATGGGCACTAGTTACTCCAGGGAGGCACCTGAACCTTCCAATTGCTTTAGCTACATACTTGGGACGGAGGGCCAGGGGACTTCGGGGAGATAGCCCGATATGCGGAGGGCATTTTATCACACGATTAGCTCGATCATATCAGTTGATGACACGTGAGATCACGAGATCGATGGTGTTTCACGACATGAGGCCGATGAGTCTTCAGCTATTGGAGTCGATGCGCGTATTAGAGCGGGGTGGAGATGGTGTTTTGAGGGTTCGAGCAGATGATGTGGCAGATGAGGAGGGTGCCGCCGAGCCACAGCCGAGACGGGTCCAGCGGCGTCGACCTGCTCCTAGGGGAGCGCAGCAGGGACCTGAGCGGGAGATTGATATGCGCTACCTGGCTCAGGGCATTGACCGTCTTAGCGAGTATGTTGCATATGTGGACATGCAACAGCAGTGGTATGGGAATGCGTTGAACGCATTCTTTGCCCATCAGGGGTTTCAGTATTCGGTTCCCTTTCCACCACCATTCCAGTCACGATTTGATGGGGCCGGTACTTCTGGGACACAGCCACATGATGATGGAGATGACGAGTGATCCTTTTTATTTTGTTTATTTGTTTGTTTTGTGTTATTTTTAGTTTAGTTTAGTTTTTAGTATTTGGTATGTAATTAAACTTTGATTTAGTTTGATTTAGTTTGTTTTCCATGTTGATGCTCTTTGGTTGTTTAGATTTCTGCAGAATTTTCGCCCTTAGGAAGCTGGCAGTAAGTTCAGTAGCTAGGTCCGACTGTTGCTAGAGAGAGCGGTATGAGAGTTGAAGATTATAGTCAAGACCCACAATTTGTCATAAGTGTGGGGTGCATCTTTATTAGAGTTGTATTTCGACGCAAGGAAGAAATATTGTTCCGACTGCCACGACGTGGTTGACACTTTCCCACATCATGGTTATTATACATTGCATCTAATTGCAATATTTTGCACCACATTTTCGAAGATGGCGGTCTTGATTTTATTTTTCGGCAAATTTAGAAGCAGCAGTTCCAGTTTTCAGTTTTTCAGCAATATTTGAAGCAACCTGTAGCAGCCCCATTCGATCTCGCCACAACTACCCAGGGGAGTCTGTTCCTTTTTTTTTATGTTCTTAATTTGTTTTAGCATACAATGAGGGCATTGTATGAAATAAGTGTGGGGTAGGGGGTCGGTAAAAGTAAATTAAAATTAAGAGAAAAATGAAATTGCTAGATTTTAGAAAATTTAAAAATTTAAAAGAAAACTTGAAATAATAGTTTAATTTAGAAAAATCTAGTGATAATTTAAAATTTTGCTAATATTGTATGAGATGATCCGATGAGAACTCAAATGTTTAGTTGAACCAATATACGTTATAGTGCATTTGTGGCTTCCCTTATTTTAGTGAAATCATGGAACAAAAACATAACCCCGCTCGGTTTGAAGGATGCAATATGTTTAGCAGCCTAAACCTGAAATGTATCCAGGAAAATTATTATCGTTAACCAATAAAGGTTGAGATTGAGTGCCTCTGCTTAAGCATGTAGGTTTTGAGCGAAAAAAGAGAGGTACATGTAAAAAAAAAGAGAGAATTACGAAAAAGTTTGAAGAATTTTGGAGCAAATAAAGTGAAGATCAAAAGATCAAAATTCCAAGAAATTCAAAAAGTTGAAGATACCAAGAAATCAAATCAAATAAGGTGGTGAATTCAAAGAAATCAAAGATCAAATTGTTAGGAAAGTGAAGAATTCCTAAAAAGCTCTATAGTGGTATCATAAATTGTAATTCTAGATTATGTATGCTTAGGTTGCTCAACTAAAAATACCTTGAGGTTAGGAGGTTTTCTGCGAATGGATTCGGAGGGTTGCATAAAATGAGCATTGTTCGGAAAAAGTGGGCAAGTGTTTATGAAGATTGTGAGTATTTAAAGTATGGGGGGGGGGGGGGGTACTTTAGGAAAATTTTAGACACAAATGCATGCGTTGAGGTCTTGGCATAATGGCTGAGTTTTAATTGGATTGTTTAGTGCAATATTGGTAAAATAAAAGTAAATTTGCTTGGGGGCAAGCAAAGGCTAAGTGTGTGGTATTTTGATATGTGTATTTTTATATATATTTTTATGCACTTTATCTTAATATTTTAGCCTTATTTATTTTATTTTAGAACTAAAGAGTACTCATAATACTTTGAATTATGTTTTGCAGCTATTTGTTGTCGATAAAGCACAAAAGAAAAGACTGAAGCAGAAACCGGGCTTAGAAGCTAAAAGAAAGAAAAGAATGCTGAGGTAGCGAGTACGCCCCGCATACCTTAAGGTTACGCTCCGCGTACACGCTTGCACCGGATAGACTTGATCGCGTGATTATCTTGAGTACGCGCTGCGTAATCCTAAGTACACCCAGCGTACTTAGGTCGGCCACAAAGATTATAAATGTCGATTTTTAGTTAACCAGGAGGGGGGATTCGACTTCTAACCTAATTTTAGTCGACAATTAACTTCTGTTAAGCCGTTTTGAGGGTCTAGAAGGCGGCCGGAAGGCCGTTAAGCTAACGGGAGCAGAGATCTGAAGGATTGGAGAGCGGATACATGTCGGTAATCATATGGATTGCTAACGTGACCATTTTAGCACTTCATTATGGTACTTTTTGTATTTAGTTTCTGATTTGGGTGTAAAAACCTTTTATTTTGTGTTTACGATGGAATGAAGTTTTGATTCTTAGACTAATTGTTATATTAAATAATTTATTTGTGTTTAATTTATCTTGCCAAGCTTGTTCAAAGATCCTCATGTGTTAATGATGATTATTTGCTGTTACTTGTTAAGTGAATTAAGTTGTATGAACACCTGCTTGATTTGCTTGTCTCTTATGATTTTTGATGACCATTGATATTATAAGACTATAAATAACGAATGTGAAACTAGGATTAACTTGGGAATAAGTAAGTTAATGTGTGAGCCTTGTTTGATGACCATCAACAAGAGGTTAATTAAATGTTTAAATTAACTATATTTACAAGTCTTGCTTGATACGAACTGAACACTAGGAAGCATGTTAGTTTAATCAATTGATCACTGTTTGAATTGACTTGTTTGCTAAAGGATTAGTTATAGTGAACACGAATCTAATCAATTTAGGAATCGGTGAACATGAATAAATGAATTTGTGTATGCAATTGTTTATGTTTTCAAGGTGGAATTTGTTTAAACCAAAGTACCTAAAGAGATTTGTTTTCCTGTTAGTTTATCGAGGAGGGTTAATTAATTATTAGTTTGAGATTTATTAAATTATGTCTTTTATTCTTTTCGTGTGACCTATAATCAGATATATTAAATTAATCCACCGTTCCCTGTGATCGACACCCGACTTACCTAAGCTATACTGTAATCTGACTAGGTACACTGCCTATAAGTGCATAGTTAGTCTAAGTTTGTTAGGTTATAAATATTAAAATTAATGAGTACTTTTGTGCACATCAGACGTTTACCATAAAAACAATGTAAGTATCGAAAACATGATGACCTAAATCCCAAAGTACAACTTATTCATGATCTGGTTCCTATGACACGTTCGATTAAAATCACAAGTTGGTTTTCATTGAGCCTCATTGGTTGTAATAGAGAAATTGAAAGTAAGTTTCTATAAATCCTCTTGGTAAGTTACATATTTATTTCTTGTAATTAAACCATTTTGAAGTGAAGCCAAAACTTGGACCACATATAGAAAGCAAAATAAATATACATCCTAATCTATAAGTTAAAAGGATGAATTACAAGAAATAAAAAGTGAAATAACCGCCTATTTCTAATACATCAAGCTTATAAGTTAGGATATCTATTTCTTTTGCTTTTCGTACGTGGTCCAAGTTTTGGTTTCACTTCAAAATGGTTTAATTGCAAGAAATAGTTGTATAACTTACCATGAGTCTGTGGTTATGGAAACCTACTTTCAATTTCTCTATAACAACCAATGAGTCTTAATGAAAACGACCTTATGATTCAATTAAGCGTGTTACAAGAACAAAATCATGACTAAGTTGTAGTTTGAGATTTAAGTGATCATGTTTTTAATGCCTACACTACTTTTACGGTAAACGTCGTTGTTTGAAAAAGATTAGGAATAATATTTTTTTTTATGAACCATTGTTTCTTCTTGTTTATGTCTTTACATATGTCTATGTCATTCGTGTCAAATTGATGAAGATTAAAAACTTAATGTCAAAATTAGAAAAATTTGGAATCTTAGTGTCAAAACCGTGAAAAATTGAAAACATAGGGCCTTTTGCGTAAACTTTTGCTTCTGATACGTTATCATGCCACGCCAACAGTGTAATTGTCAACCGGTCAGAATTGCAACAAATTGAAAACATAATGATTTATGTGTAATAAAAAAATTGGTATCAAAATAAAAAAAAAAAAATGAAAAGTGATTGACTTTTATAAAATTTATAATTAAAAAAGTACAATATTATCAATTTACATCTAATCTTGTTAAAATATATGTGATGTTGTCACTGAATTATTTGATTATTAAAAAATTCATATAATAACTTTATATTCAAACAACTTATCTTCGATTATAAAATTATAACATCATTTTAAAAACATATTTGTAAAGAAAAAAAAAACTTTTCCTTTGTTAATTTACATAGGAGACAAAATAAAATTGTGTACCTTACCACACTTTACCCTTCAACCAACCATACAAAACCCATCAAAGACTTTGCCTTATGCACATCTCAGTGTTCTTTCTTAAGCTATGGCGCACCCAATCGAAGCCAAAGATTACTGGAATGAATCAGGTTTCTAGATTCTCTAGCAGTTGTTTCGATTTTTGGATACCACTGGGCAAAACCCTACGATTCAATTGAACTCAAAGCGTTTGATTTCATCATGGAAAGAGAATTGAAGCAGAAACGGCAAGTTGATGTTGTTTCGCTGGCAACTTCTTCTTCCGGTTATCCTCGAGATCGGAGACGACATCCTTCTCCGCCGGCTAGATCACCTGAAGATTCCCCGTTGTCAACTATGTCTCCTCTGTCATCTCTCAGCCATGGATTCTCTCCCGAAAGAGTTGAGTTACAACCTGAAGCAGAATCAGAAGCGGCAGAAGAAGGAGAAACATCACACGGTTCACCAACGTTAGATCCTTTGCCGGATTTGTCCGGGGCGAGGGTAACGTCGCCGGCGCCTGTGTCGACGGTGAACAAGTACGTTCGAGAAGAGACTCTGCCGATTAAGAAAGCGGAACGCGGCGCTCAAGACGGATACGTTGGAAAGCCACCGGAGGAACCACGAACAGGCGGTGGAAACCAAGGGAGACGGCCGAGGCCAGCTATGGGGAGCGTTAGTAGGATGGACAAAGAAGGTTCGATGAAGAAGATAGCGTTAGGGTTTAGGATTTTCGAATTGCTATTTTGTTTGATATCGTTGTCGGTGATGGCCACCGACAAGCGTCAGGGATGGGCTCTCGATTCATTCTACCGTTACAAGGAGTTCCGGTGATCCTCTCTTCTCTCCGGCCACCCTCTAAATATATCCAATCACATTTCAATTGTTTAATGATGGTGGATTTTCAGGTACTCCATGGCAGTGAACATTGTCGGATTTGCATATGCTGTGTTACAAGGATTTGATCTGGCCTATCAGTTGGCCACCGGAAATCATTACAAACGACGTCATTTTCTCCGGTATTACTTTGATTTCGCCATGGACCAGGCAAGTTTTTGCATCAAATCTTTGTTTTTTTTTCAGTGAATTTAAACACCCATCCAATTCAAACTTTTTCTTTGATCATGTCATATTGTCATCATATATTTCAATTTTAACTGAAATCTGGTGAAATTCAGATGTTGACATACCTTCTGATATCATCGGGATCATCAGCAGCAACCAGAGTAGACGACTGGAAATCGAATTGGGGTGCAGACAAGTTCCCACAGCTGGCTACCACTTCTGTTAGTCTTGGTTTTGTGGCTTTTGTTGCCTTTGCCTTCAGCTCTTTAATCTCTGGTTATCTTCTTCATGCTTCCACATCTTCATGATTTTCTATTATTACTACTTAAATTTTCTTATATGTTCATAATAGAATGTAAAAGCTTATTATAACTTTAAGGAAGGTTATGTTCATGTGCAATGCAAATAGATTTGTATGATATGCTAAACAGGCTTATGGAGAATGTTAAAACTTCGATGAACTCGGATATTAGACTTGTGGGATGTTAATTAAACTTTTATGGAAGTGATATGTTCTTGTTTCATCAATTGAATTGGATTGGACTTCACAAACTTTTCTAGAGCATTCATGTCTTTTACTGTTGTATTAATGTTTGTTTAAGAGTATATTATATATTTTTGATAAATAACTATGATTTAAATTAAAAAAAAAAAAAAAGACTATTCATGCTAATTTGTTGAATAACAATCAATGCTAATTAATTAATATATTTTTTTTATTATAAAGCAACTGTTGAAATGTGAGTAGGAATCACTTTTAAAACAATATTGGTATTATATTGCAGTGATGATCATGTAATAATATAATTTGTATATTATTTAAAGCCTTAAACATCTGTCTTGTCTTGTATCTCAGATTTTGTTGTTATTATTATTATTGTAAACAGCAATAGTTTTAGGGGTACTCCTATACGCACCAAGGATTCGTATATAAAGGTCAGATATGACATTTGACAAGACAAAATTAATTTGTCCCTCAACTTGCAAAGATTTTTCAAAATACACCCTTAATGTTTTATAGTATTTACTTTAAACTTTATTATTTTTTGTTATATGGTTAAAAAAAAGTTTTATTTTAATTTATAACTCTTTCCTATTTGTTTTCTATCAACCATCACCGTATAAATATATCATATTAGAAAACTTTTTTTCTTTTGTTTTTATAAACCATTTAATATATATTAGTCAATAATTTTTTTTTTTTTTTTTTTTTTTTTTTTTTTTTTTTTTTTTTTTAATGTTTTATAACTCTAACGTTTTCCTAATTAATTATATTATATTTTATTATATTATTAATTTTAATTTTAAATATATTATTTTTTACTATTGGTTATATCTATTAAATATTTAATGACATTTTATTTAAGAAATATAAATTTTAATAACAAAGTCGCTAATTTCGCGTAACGGGTAGAGGTGATACCGTCGACGTATTGATTCCGTGAAACAGGTATCTTAACGTTTTATTATTAAATATTAATTAAAGATTACAATTTAGAAATTAAAATTTACAAATTTATTTATTGGCAACGTGTAATTTCACTATGTTGTATTATAATAAATAAGATGTTATCTTTTTAAAATATTTTTAAGATTTATATATATTTTAATTGTTATATTTTATATATATTTTATATATATTTTTAATTATTATATATAATAATAATTACCATGTGTTTTAGTATATATATATATATATATATATATATATATATATATATATATATATATATATATATATATATATATATATATATATATATAATAAGTTTAGTTAATAAAACAAATCAATAAACAAAACAGTAAAATAAAAACTATAAAGTGGAAAGTGGAAAATGGAAGGTAGATTTTATTACTTTAATAGAAAATAAGAGGCATTAAATGAAAAATGATAAAATATATTAAAAACGAAGGGTCCTCCTATATACACGAATTTTTCGTGTATTTGTTGCATTGAATTGCGTGCCGAATTATTTTATCGATAAATATGTGTGCCGATTAATATGTGTGCCGAATTATTTTATCGATAAAATATAATATTACAATTTTATACCTTCGGTTTACATTGTAGTTTTAGAAAAGACCCTAGATTTTATCAATTTAAATCTTAAACCCTTAAAACTTTATTAATTTTGAAAACTAACAAGTAGAAACATATTAATTATTCATAAAAGTTGTTTAATTAAAATGATCTCATGAATACATTTATAAAAAAAGTAATAATGAATATTATTAAATATTAATAGAAAAAAATTAATTTGTTAAATAAGAAATATAAACTATGAAACATTAACAAAAATAGAAGGGATAAAAATGAAAATTTGGTTACAATTTCTTTATATATATAGAGGATTCGTATTTCTTATATGGTACACTGAAAGCGACTTGCTGAAAGTAACTTTCCTTAAAAGCAAATATATGATATTTGTTAAAAATATAGATTTTATTAAATGACAAGTTGGAAAGAATGGATGGGTGACACATATTATGAGGTATTTGTACTTATTATTATTATTATTATTATTATTATTATTGTTATTATTATTATTATTATTATTATTATTATTATTATTATTATTATTATATATTTTTTTTCTCTTTGTTATGTTTAGAGAGATGATATTCATCCAATGGAGACAAATGAAATAGATGAAAATAATAGCTTCAATGAAAGTAACTATTTTTTCGACGACACATCACCATTCGAAACGGATATTCATCCAATGGACACAAATGAAACATATGAAAATGAAAGTTTGAACGAAAGTCGTTATTTCTTTGATGACACGTCACCCTTCAAAACAAATAAGGTATAAATTCATTAGTATGTTGTTACTGTAATGTAAGCATCAAGTGGATTTGTCTGCTACTGATAATAATATAATTGTCAGGTGTTCAATTCTCGTCAAGAATTGATGGATTGGGTGCAAAATATGGCAAATACTTTAGGTTATGTCATCGTCATAAAAAATTCTAAACGTAACTTTAATGTTGTATTTCAATGTGACCGTGGAGGTACATACAAAAGTACACAAATCTCCAAAAAAAAACAGGGACAAAAAAAATTAATTGTCCATTTAGCCTATAGGGTAAATATTCGTCAGTAGATAATTCTTGGAAGATAAAAATGATATGTGAATTTCATAACCATGAGCCGTCATTATATTTAGAAGGTCATCCTTATCCACGACGACTAACTGAATATGAATGTCGAATAGTGGAAGATTTGTTGAAAAAAAATGTCAAACCAAAAGATATATTATCTGCACTAAAAAACCTAAATCCGAAAAATGTATCTACTCTCAAAACTATCTACAATGTAGACGAAAAACTTCGACGTAGGGAGAGAGAAGGTAAAACTCAAATGCAAGGTGTTATGGAATTTCTAGATCAAAATGGATATGTTTATTATAGTCGTGCAAATGTTTTGACAAATAAGTTAGAAGATTTATTCTTTGCTCATCCAAGATCATTAGAAATATGGCGTGCATTTACACATGTCTTGTTAATGGATGCAACATATAAAACAAACAAGTACGGGATGCCTCTATTGGAGATTGTTGGTGTAACTCCAACAAATATGACATTTTCCATTGCATTTGTGTACATGCATGAAGAAAAACAATCCAACTATGTTTGGGCTTTAGACTGTCTAAAATCGGTGATGGAAGGATGTATGTTGCCGCGTGTTATTGTGACTGATAGAGAAATGGCTCTCATGAACGCATACACTATTATATTTCCAGATGCTAAAGGATTACTTTGCAGATGGCATATAAATAACAATATCATGAAGAAATGCAAATCATGTTGGGATGTTCTTTATACGTCATGGACGAGGTTGGTTAACTCTGAAACAAAGGAAGCATACAACAAGAATTTGGCACAAGTTGAAAAAACTACGAACAATTATCCAGGTATTTTTAAATATACATTATAATATGTTATAAATCATTACATCAACTGAAATTTTTTATGTATTTCAGATGCATTTTCTTATCTAAACAAAACATGGTTGACACCACACAAAGAAAAGTTTGTGTCTGCATGGACCGATAAGTTTCTTAACTTTGGCAATCACACAACTAATAGAGCTGAAAGTCAACATGCCAAGTTAAAAAGATATGTCGAAACATCAAGATCAGATATCGCCAAATCATTGAAGCGTATTGCTGATGTTGTTGAGTCACAATACACAGGTATAAAAGCGAGTCTTGCGCATAACAAAATTTTCATTGTACATCGGTACTACGAAATACCACATCTAAAACCATTGTGTCGTTTCGTTTCAATTTATGCACTTGATATCATTTTCAAAGAATATGAGCGGTCCAAAGAATTTGGATTTGTTTATGAAAATTGTGGATGTCAAGTACGTACAAGTTATGGGCTGCCATGTGCGCATGAACAAGCTATATTTGTTAAAAAAGGTCATTGTGTACCGCTTCATTCAGTAGATAAGTTTTGGAAGAAACTTGATTTATTAGAATGCAAATCGTTAGAAGATGATAAATTGGGTTGTGCAGTTGAGGTAAATATGTTTAATGCTCATTACGAAAAACAATCAAGACCTGTTAAGTTAAGTTTAGCAAGGAAGTTACTAAACTTAATCACGCCGTCAACAACTTCAGTTTCTGAACCTGCTACTCACAAAAATACTCGTGGGCGCCCCTCCTTAAAGAAGAAACTTTTCAAGAAAACCCATATCGATTTAAACCATGACCCACCAACTCAACATCCACCACCTCAAGATCAACCGACTCAAGTGCCACCAACTCAATATCCGTCTCGATGTAGCATTTCTACTTATACGCCTGATTATATGCGGTCTAATTTGTTTGATCTAAACCAGGAGCCGGATAGGCACAGTACGTACTCGTTCCGAGAACCTCCAATGTGCAACTCAACTTTTAATCAGGAACAATCGATGCATAGCTCGTACTTCAACCAAGAACAAGTAATGTATAATTCAGATCCACTTATGAATGAAATTCCGTATGAATTTCATCTATATGTCACAAACATACAAAACGTGAGGGGAGATGGAAATTGTGGATTTCGTGCAATAGCTGCGTGTCTCGGTTATAGTGAAGATAATTGGCGTCAAATCCGCTTAGATTTACAGAATGAGTTGTTAGCACACCCAGCTGAGTACGCACAGATTTTTGATTACGATTTAAACACCATACACCACTCATTGAATTTCAATGGATCACATTTCGCACCAACAGATCGTTGGTTGATTATGCCGGTCACTAGCTTTCTCATTGCTAACAAGTATAATGTAATAGTTATTTTTCTAAGCAAA